AAATAGATTATAAAGAATTTAAAGCATTTAAATCATTGAAAAGAAAAGTGAGATTATTAAATAATGAAAAACTATTATTGTGCATGAAAATAAAATCCATATTTAAGAGACAACAAAATAAGTTGCATTTCATTTATTTTACAAAGAAAGATGCAAAATAATTTATATAAAAAAAACAGAGGGAAGTAATACCCTGGCTCAAGACATTTTATTCTTTGGTTACTCTATTTTTTTATTATCAATAATATTCATCCATCATCACCTTCATATTCATAATCTTTATACTCCATCACTTTACTCTTTTCCTTATTAACTCATTCTTGAATTCTTCAATTATAATATATAGAAGCAGCAATCCCTGAAATCGTTTTGTTCAGCCCCCCCTTTTTTTTTTAATCAATTGTTTAAAACCCTCTACTACTACAGTTTTTTCAACATCCCCTGGGTAGTGCTTTGATCACAGATTGGTTTAATTTTCCCAGGCCCTATTGACTAATTGTTTTATAAATTTTTTTGTTGATGCTATTTTTAGGCAAAGAAAAGATCCATAAAGAATTCACTGGTAAAAATAAGGATAAAGATGTCTGCAATTTGATTTATCTCGTTAACGTGAAAATGAGTGAATTGGTAATGTGGTTTTTTTAATAGTTACTTTTGCGTTCATTAAATGAGCAAAATCGTAAAACGAATTAGGGTACTTTGTATAACCAATCAAAATCAACCCCCTGAAATTTCATTCTATTGTATATTAATATTAATATTAATTAATATAGTGAATAGTATGCCCATTTAATATTACTGGTTTTTTGGCATATATGTGGCGAGTGTCTTGGCGATTAAAATTTTATCCACTTGTATTCATTCATAGAAAGCTCCTAATAACCTAACCAAATTTGGAAATTATATGGTTTTTATATAGAATTTCGAATACTGAAAAAAAAACAAAAAAAGTTTTTTGGAGGCTTTTTATATTACCATTAAAAATTAGGTTTAATATTGAAGCAATTTGTTGATAGGAAATTCCCCGATACTCAACTAATTTCTTTCTATAAGCGTGCGTGGTACTAAATTAATTCGTAATTTCTTTTATAACATTTATAATCTTAAATTGATTTGTCATCACAGTCACAATCGGGATTTCGGTATGACAATATACCGATATTTAACCATTACTACCTGGTGTCACAAGTTAAAGTTATATAAACCTTAGAAATTCTATGAAAAAAGATTTTAATTTTTTTTCTTTATAAATTTCGGTATTTTTTTATCCGCTTTTCCTTATGCGAAAAAAATTTTTTATAGATTTTTTAAAAATTGAGCCACTTTTTAAATTCTTTCGCTGATAAATTTACCCATATTCTTTTTGTGTTCACGCAAAAAAAAATTTTAACCGAAATATTAATATATATTTATTCAGTAATAATAATAATAGCAATTTTTCCCTTCATGTAAATCAATCAATTAACAAATATAAATAATAAAATTATTAATAATTGATTTTCCAATTTTAAAAAACGGATAAAAAAAATTATCGGTTAAACTTTTTATTCTAAGCATCCCAAACAATGATTATGGTGGATAAAAAGAATCGAAGTTTGGTTTTATCATTGTCACAACAACAATCATCCAATAACAATCATGGCTCAATAGCTATTGGATCAATTAATGACACTACAAACATTGCTAACACAAATAATACTATTAATAGTAATGATTATATTGCTAATACTTCTAATAATATTAGTAATCCGAAATCATCATCAAGTAATAATTCATCAAATAGTGCAACGAATAAAGCCAATAACAACCAATCGGTTAAACGAAAAAGATTGACTCAAGCATGTGATGTGTGCAGGAAAAAAAAGGTTAAATGCAGTGGTGAGAAACCTTCATGTAATAATTGTACACGATTAAATCTTAATTGTACATATTTACCTAGTCCAAGAAAAAGAGGTCCAAGAGTTGGTTTGGTAGAGAGTTTAGAAAGGCGTCTTCAACAAATGGAAAAACTTTTACAACCCCTCAAAGAACAAGGAATTGTTGTAGGGGGTCCCAACAATAACAAGAATTTCAACCAAGAGCAGCAACAACAACAGCAACAACAACAACAATTGCAACAGTTGCAATTCATTTCTCAAGATCCTAATAGTAATAACAATGTTTCCAAGTCAAATAATGATTTTGTTCCTTCACAAATTAATTTGAGATCACCATCATCGTCGTCGTCATCGTCTGCTTATAATAATAATAATAATGATCAAGAATTCATTAATGCATTTCCTAATTCACAACCACAGTTGAACAATATTAATATTAATAATATTAACAATAATAATAATAGTTTGCAATCACCACTACAACAACCACCATCGCCGTCTTCTTCTTCCTCCTCCTCTTCTTCTACTACTAGTTCTCCATTAATCGAATCAAATGAACTAAAAACTGAAATAAAAGAAGAGGATGATGTATTAATATATTTCGGCAAAACTTCGGCAAAGCCAGGACTCATACCAAAAAAAGAAACGTTCTGTGGAGATGCGGATGATAATGACATAATGCACACTACCACTACTAACTCCTCAGAAAATAGTTCAGAATCTAGTGGCAGTTCAAATAATAATTCAATTGAAAATAGCCCAAATATCAATATCAATAATTATAATTATATTCTTAATAATAATAACGTCAGTATGCCAATGACAAAAACAATTCTCTTTAGGCCATCTTTGGATATGGATACTGTGGAACATCTAGCCTCTTGTTATTTTCGTTATATTGATAATCAAATGCCTTTACTTCATAAATCAACTTTTATGTCTCAACTAAAACAAAATAAAGTTTCTCCGTTTCTTATATATTCTCTCTGTGCTGTTGCTGCAAGGTGAGAGAGATTAAATATTTGATACAATAAATAAGTTAATTAATCAATTAATTAATTACCTTATTATTACTATCATTATTAAAAGGTTTTCAGATCGTCAAGACATTGTAAGAAATCCAAGGTATTTGTCCGGTGAAGGTTATGCTGAAATAGCCTCTCAAATGATATTTCATACAATCGATCGTCCAAGTCCAGAGGCAGTACAAGGCATCAATCTTTCTTATCTATTTATTAATCATTATTATTATCATTGCTGTTCAATTAATCCAAATACGTGCATTAATATTAATGCATTTATATTTATATTTAAACATTTAAATAGCTCTGTTATTACTTACTCTGCAAAGCTACGGTGCAATGAAAGGTCCTAGATGTTGGACATATTTAGGAATTGCTATAAGGTACATATATGTGTTATATTTTTGAATTCGTTAAAAAATATTTCTTCCTTTCCTTTACTTCTTTTTTTTACTTACAACTATTTTTTTTTTAAAAAAGAATGGCACAGGAAATAGGATTGCACAGAATAGACGAATCGCTTGGAAATTCATCCCATTCAATTGTTGATGATGAAATGGCATTTATTAAGAAAGAAACTCGTAGAAGGACGTTTTGGCTTGGTTTTACGCTTGATAGGTAAAAAAAAAACGGGATATTTGTTTTAAAAAAGTGTGCAATCTTTCGGTTAATTGACTAATTGATTGATTGATTAATTTAATAAAATTTTTAAAAACCAAAAAATGTAAAAAGATTTTCAGCATGTGCACTTGGTAGACCTCATATGATTCAAGAATCTGATTGTGATGTTCGATTACCTTGTAAAGAAGAAATATGGAATTTAGAACATCCATTCACCAGCCCAAAAATTGATGAATTTCGAAAAGAATCTAAAGAAAAACAAGGGCTCCTGCTTAAACTTGCTAAATGCGGACTATGTGCTTGCCTTGTTAGTGTTGCCGCTTTACTTGGACGTGCTTGTCAATATGTCAATAGATCAAACTCTAGAAATATTTCACAACCTTGGGATCCCAAATCAGAATATGTTCAACTTGAAGGCGATATAAAATCATGGCACAGTTCAATTTCGCCACATTATGACTATTCGTTTGAGAAATTACAAAAATATATGAGCAATGGTACAGGTGTGAGTTTTGCCACAATGCATATAGTATATCATGCAACTGTCGTTGTGCTAAACAGACACAGTTTCTCGAGATCACAACAAAATGATGGAGTTACACCTGATGTTGAATTTGTAAAAAAATCTGATGCAAAATGTACAGAAGCTGCTCGATTTGCTTCTGAGATAGCAAAAGATATCATTAGTATCGGTTGCTCCAACATGTTCCCATTCAGTGTCTATGGTGTATTTGCAACCGCATCTATTCATATCAATGATTCATTTAGTAATGACAAAGAATTGGCACAAAATGCAAAAAAATGTTTGAAAATTGACGAACAATACTTGAGGGATATGGAATCACATTGGGCAACAGCCGGGAAGTTGGCCACGTTGATGAAAGAAATGATAATAGCTAAAGAATCCAATAATAAATCTGATATAACGCCATTTTACAATTATAACAACAATGAATTCAACGGCAGGTATGACAACAATAACAATATCTATAATAATTTTGGAGGGTTAGAAAATGATAACATTGGTATTATTAATAATAATATGGTGCCGATGAGGTTAGATAACGAAAATTATTTTTAGTAATTTTTTGATGGTGTGTAAACTTAAATGATCATTATAATAATAATTTGATGATTTCTCTATTTTTTCCATAACAATACTACCAGCCTACTATCACCACGTCTCTTATTTAGTGACCAAACGTTTATTAATGGTGGTGGTGAATCTTGGACAAGTCTCCTTCGATCTCCGTACATTTTAACACCACGTACACTTCAACGTATTACTAATAATAATAATAATAATAATAATGCCAACAATAACAATAATAATGATATGTCAGGAGGAGGAATAGATTATTTTACTCAAAGTCCAAATGTTTTTGGAAGTCAATATCCTACTATTACATACGAAAATGTTCCGTTGGTTGATGCTTCGTCATCATCAACTACTGGATTTATACCACCAGAGTTTTCTTCTACCAATGCGAATACTTCTAGATTCCCACCACTGATGTAGTGCCTTAATTATTTCTTATAAGGGTAAATAATGTAATGTATAAATTTAGAGGGGAGAGGGGGGGGGAGAGAAATCACACATATATAATATATCTTTATAAATATATTTATAAATAGTTATTTAATGTATTAATTTAATAATTTAAAAATAAATAAATTTATTAATTTTTGTTATCCATGACCCTGTAATTAATCTCGGACAAAAATAATTTACCAAAAGAATCTTTCTTATAAACGTGTTCCTTTTTTTAATTTTGAATGAATTATCATCCATTTTGCTACTTTCCTTCCCTTGAAAGGTTAATAATTATAATTAAAAAAATTACACATAATATACGTATATTTATAAACAATATAAATAAAATATGCATTCATCCTTCTTCCACCCTTTGAAAAACGCGTTATTTCTTCTAAAAAACCTCAAATATTGATGATAATGAAACGAGTAAATTAATACTAACAAAACGCGCATACTCAATCATCAAAGGTTCAAAAAACAAAACGTTGACGCGCTTTTTTGTATTTTATTTTACTTTTTGTCGAATTGATGAATATGAAAATTTTTCTTGAGCAAAAAAATCGACCTCGATCAATAACAAGACAATTATAATATAATCTATAAGATTCCCGGTTCTTGTAGAATTGGCTTCGCAGATAACTTATTCAGGGGAGTCGTATTATAGTATTTTTGAATTATTGTTTGATTACGCATTCACGCACACGTCAACAATATTCATTTTACATGATATACCTACCTGATGCGATCATCATATCGAACAGTGGATGTTTTGAGAGATTACGCGGCGAATACACGAAGATTTAAAGAGTGAATTTCTTTTTTCATTGAAAAAATAATATTTATTTGAAAGATCCATGACAGTATCATTAACGACATAAATTTTCTGAGGGAATTAACAATTTTATTTTTCAATGATGGTTAAACTCTGAATATTTGAAAAGAGTTGCGCTCAGTTCATCGACAATCACTTCGTCGACATCATTTCGTCGACAGTTCATTTCGTCGACAATTGGTTTGCATGTTATGGTATTGTCACTGGCTATTTTGGCGATTATAATAATTGATGATAATTATTGTTTTTAATAGTGTGATTGACAATATGCTAATGAATAGTATTGAGGTTCATTTGAATCAAAACTCCCTATATTGAGGGAATTAACCAATGATATGTTTTAATACCATTTTTGTCAACTAATATGTTTATGAAATTTTTTAAGCATTATCATTATATTGAAAGTGGTTAATATTTTGTATTTCAAAATTTTCTCTAAATCACTGACGAAAGTCACATGACCAGAAAGTATGAAAGATGCACATACATAATAAATAAAAATTAAATATACATGTAAGAATATAATTATAAATAATGTACATAAAAATATTAAGATTTTTTTTTTAGAAAATGTAATTTTTCAATGTCTTTAGAAGAATCTAATTCTGGATCCTCCATTTTTGTAACAATTTTTTTCATGCTATCGACTCCAACTCTTGATTGTAAATTTTCATATTTCATCCTTGGAAGAAAATGTGGATGTGTGACCACTAAATATTCAATCTATAGAAATATATCGTGAGAAACGCGCGTAAATGATAAACTGATTGGTTGGTTGGTTGGCAAAAAAAAAAAAAAATACAATAAAAAAATTTTTCAATTTAAATTACCAATTGTTCACGAATATCATTTTGTATTTTAAATAAATTTCTGACATTAGATGCTAAAAAAGTTAAAGAAAATATTAACATTAAAATATTCCAGAACAAATATATTTTATGAAAAGGAGTAAAGAAGAAATAATAATTACTGGTCATTGCTGCCTTTAGCACTAAAAAATTTTCTCCGGCTTTGCTAATCTAAAAAAAAAAATTAAATTAGCAACTTTTTTATGTAGCAAATAATAAATAAATGAATACATGTATATCAATCAATCAGTCATACTTTTAGACTAGCATCTCTGTGATCCCAACATTCATGTTTTTGAACAAACATCATAAACTGTTGCCTCAGATCATTCAATGGAACGCCATAATCCACGTATAATTCAAATGTAGCGGTAATATTTTGACTGGTTTTTGACCAATTTTCAAAAGTTTCGTTTATTATACGAATAAGTGGAATTATTAACCTCTTGTCATCTCCAGTTCTAACAACTATAAATTGTGCTTGAATTTCCTCTTATTGTTTTTTGAAAATTTCATATTAATTTCCCATATTAATATTAATAATAATCAGAATTATGATAATGAAAATCAGATTGTATATTTACCAACAATGCCTTCACAATCGCCAAACGAAACGTAATCATCAAGTAAAAGTGGTTGAGTTAAAGCTATTTGTAAAGAAGCAATTAAATTCTAATTTAATGAAATCATTAATACATATACATAATATTAGTTAGGTCTATTGTATAAAAATGTAACCCCATAAAATAATCATCGTATTAACCTCAATTGATGGTTTTGCAGCAAAACCAACAAAAATGGCCGTTACACTAGCACTAGCCAAGATACCAACTCCAATTTCCCAAGCTTTAGGAAACGTCAATAGAATACAAGATGCACCGATCAAGAAAATGACTATATACGCTATCCTGGTACACACCGTTAATTGAGTTTGTAATTTACGAGCTTGTAACTCATGTGACGATTTTATGAAATCATTATTTTTTGATATTGTTATTGACACAGCTTTGGCAAACCCAACTACTGTCCAAGTTACAAAAATTATCAAAACGATTGCCAATGCATGTCGAATTGGGTATAATATAGCCAGATCAACATTAGAAACAAATGGTAGTGTGATAAGAATAGTTCCAATGGGAAAGGTGATGAAACTGGGTTTAGCACTATTCTCGTACAATAGATATATATATTTTAGTATTAATATATATATATATATACACACATGATAAAAAGAAACCGATATGGTAAAAAAACAATATGATAAACAAAAACTAACCAGTGCTTAACCACTTCTTCATCAAATGTCCAGCCTGTTTTGGCTGCAACTCTTTTCAATATAAACGTTATTGTTAAATGAACTAACATGGATCCTATTGCTATAGAACCCATTATGACTAGTGGTAACGTTCTATTTCCATCTCTGAACGATAGCACATCAGGACCTGTGATATTGTAATCACTCATTATATTAACTAAAAAGTTTTTTTAGAGTTTTAATTTTTTGAATTGTGTACATTATTAATATTAATATATAACAAATTCCCCCTAAACATTACACAAGTATTTAATTTACAATAAAAAAAAACATATATATTACATTTGCCGTGTCACGATCTCCTTCCCAAAACTCGCAAGTCGTGTGATTTTCGTGCAGGTTTTATTGAGCATAGTGGACATTTGATTTTCATTGGCTAAATTTTGTGATGATCCCCTTCCAGATAATTATTTTTAATGGCTTGAAGATCGTTATGGAATTTAATTTGAATGAAATCAAATGAATTTCAAGAATATATATACATACTTAGGTGGTAGAAGTAGTCATCATATCTATTGTATATTTAATATTAACAATAAATATACACTTGTTACAAAATGTCAATAACAACGATCTATTATTTATTATTATTATATAGACGTTCTCTACTTGATATTTTTGATTGATTTTAATTCTTATCAATTATTTGAAATACTTCTAATTCATCAAAATAAATACCATTTACTACATTAATGTCATTATAAGTATGATTTGGATTAGCACCAATCCAACCATACTCACCAAACGCAATATCATTATCAATACCAAACGTAGGTAAACAAAGAGGTGTACACCAAATTGCATGATCATAATCATTATTAATGACGTAACTAAATTGTGCAGTATTAATCTCATTTCTATCCCTTATATTAAATATAAAACTTTCAGTTGTATTTTTATATGCACAAGTTCCATTCCAATTAAGTGGATTATATGCACCAACTATTTGATCGGAATTTTCTATTTTGGCAATTGTAAGAGTTCTGTTAACATTATCACATTTTTTATGAAATACATATGAATCCAAATCATCTCTACTACTACGATATAATAGTTTAAATTTATATCTAACTTCACTGAATGAATTGTATTGTGTATTTTTTCTATCAATCCAACTTGTAAAAAGTAAAATATGCTTATAATTGATGGTATTTGATTCAATTTTTGGAAATCGTGATGGTAATAAATTTAATGTTTGCTGTATATCAGGAACCAAATAATATTGTAAAAGGTTATTCCAAAAAAACTCTGTAAAAAGTTTTTGATATGGCTTAATTTTATTACTAAATTCCTCATTAGAGATATCCTGAAATCGAATTAAAGGAATAATGTCTTCAAGTATATTTTTCAACACTTTTTGATCATTTTCATTCCATTCTAAAATATAATTTTCTCTTTCTTCCAAATTTTTGATTTGTCCAATACCCCATTTAATAATGAGACCCCAAACATCAATTTCATCCACTTCTAAATCTTTTTTTAATAAAATCATAAACATTGGTTTTTTAATATTTTTGAAATCATCTGATTCTAAAAATAATTCTGGCTCCTTATTAATTATTTCCTTAAAATAATCATGAAGCAAATTGAATGATGATTGGTGTCTTAATGAAATTTGGTGAAGATAATTTAAATCATGTTGAATCCATATTTCTTTATTCGCAATAAAATAATTTTGTAATTCATCAATTAAATCATTAAAACCTAATTCATCACATGCCACAAGAAGTTCAACTGTTTCATAAAAATCCAAATTATCTATATTAACAATTCCACTATAAATGTACCTTTTAACAATGATATTATTATTTTTAAGCAATTGATTTATCAATCAATCAGTAAAAGCTTGTTAAATTAATAATCTTACATTAAAAGAACTTCAAAAACTTTTGAAGATATGTTTTCTTTCTCAAATAAAATAACACCATTTTCAGATCTTTTAATCCAATCATTTGATAAAGCTGCTTTAAAATATGAAGATCTTGCTTTTAGGACATTTGAATGAGCTTTAAAAGTTTCAACATCATTCTGGACTCCAACTTTAATTTCTACATCATAAAAATCTGACTTAATTAATAAATTAGTTAGATCATTTACAAGTCTACCAATGTGTTTTAATGGTAAAGCCTCTTTGTTAGAATCAATAAGATTGCTAAATAATATATTGATGTTTCCCAAGGATGAAAAACTAGTTGACATTTTGAAAAAAATAGTTTGTTTGACATAGTACAAATGTATAAATTTAAATATAACGGCATCAAGAAAATAAGTAATTTATAAAACTCCTTATGTATATATAGATATAAAAACGTTGATCGCGATATAAGTTTTATTATAACAAAGTAAAATTTGTTATGCTAAATCCGGAATCACCCAATTAGCTGACTGTGACGAAAAGAAAACCCCATTGCTGCTGCTGTGCTAGCGAAATTTTCCTGACACAATCATGTGCTTTTCATTGGGCCGCAATTTAAGTCCCATCACTCCTACCCCACCTAAAAATTTCAGGCCTTTCTCCTCCATTCTCATTCATGTACAGAAATATGTTTCTTATGTTTCGGGCAGCATTAACATCACGATTCCATAGGGTCTGGCACATGTGTCCACATGTCTGGAGTGTCCAAAACTGTTGAGGTTTACTAAATATCCCTTCACACTTGGAACATATTCTGCTAGTTCTAAATTCATAATAATTTTTACTCTATATCTTTTCCTTAACTCCCACATCAGCTGCTTTATTGGACCAGTAGCATGTCCTTTAGAACTTGATGAAAATGGAGCATGACTGTGATTATAAAATGAAATTTTTTTTTTAATTTCTCTAAATAACATAAAAAATTAGTATAGTGAAAATAGGTAATATTTACCCAAATGCCACAACAGTTCTCTCTTCATTATTGGCAATCCTCATACAGATTTTATCCATTGCCTTTTGTTTACCAATATAGTTTGACCACCTTAACCTTCTCCAATGTTTTTCTTTATAAAAGTCAAATAAATCATTCATATAAAAAAGTGCTTCAGAGAGATACTGCCATTTGGAAACCATGAACTGAAGGAACAGAAGGTGTTGATAAACCTGAAATATATAATATTGAATTAGTCTTTTAAAAAAAAATCAAAATGTTTACCTCTGACAATGGCTTGTATGAATTTATTTTTATTCATCCAAACTTCTCTTTTTTTTTCTTGCCTTTGAAACCCAGCCATTTCATAATATTCTTTTGTGCTGTATTTAGTTATTTTTTCATTTTGCTCTATAGCAACAAATAAATCCTTCTTCCAGGATCAACACCAATTAATTACTCTACATCCCTCCAAATCTAATTTTTCATACTCATCATCATCATCATTCCTTTCATCAAATTTTTTTGGTCTTTGCAGGTGGACAGAAGCACATGTACCATCAGTTGTAGATAGTATGTAAATGTTCTATTTCTAGTAGAAACTTTTTTTATATTAAAGCTTCTATTCCACCAATGATCAAAATTTTCTTTAAAAGCTTCTCTAGTTACTAGATCACTATGTTTTAGTAGAAAGCCATAATTGGTATAATGCTTCAGTGTCAATGTTTATGTTTCTTTGTTGGATTGAATATAGTGGAAGAATTGTGAAAGAGTGAAGGTTTTTGGTATGAGGATTTTTTGAAATATATTTTAATAAAGAGTGCAGGAGAGGGAGATATTTCCACCAATTTTTTTTCACTTCATTGTTTTCTAATGGCAAGGTTCTTAAAAGATTTCTTGCCTTTTGCAATATATATATAAATCTAATAGAGGCAATGTCAAAAAGCAAAGGATCTCTGATGTTAAAAAAAATGATGGAAGTGAAAGTCTTGAACCACTGTAAAGGATTTTATAGAGATGGTTCACTGATTTTGTAAGATTTTTCTTTGAAAATGGTATCCAAGCCAATTTATGTTGAATCCATTTATTGATTCTGCTTTTAATATTTTGTCATGACATGATTTTTGCAATTTGCTAGGTATTGCTTAGCTGCTGATGCGATAAGCTGAGCAAGATAACTATGAGTATTGAATTGATTTAATGACAGAATTGTTTATTAGAAATCCATTCATGAAAATAACTAAATAGATGGATGTATTGGGGTGTTAAACATTAGTATAAATACAAACATAATTGACCACATATATAAAAAATCATATATGGTGCGAATCATCTAAAGACATCACGTGCTGCGCCACTCGCCGAAAATTTTTATGCTGATCTTGCTTTATAAAGAATCCAATATATAAAAATAAATCCAAATTTGTAAAAGATCTGTGACTTTGTCACGTGAATAATTGGTAAATAATCTGTAAATTGCAGTTTAGATATATAGTTGCCGAAATTTCAAATAAAATAGCAAAGTTACCCAACTTTAAACCATTATAACTTTTTTTCTAATTAAATAACTCTAAAAAACTTTCTATTACATTATTTTTCATGTCTAGAATCTTGCAAAAATAGAGAGTTTTTGGTAAAATAGCCCATATTTAATAAAGTATCAGCACTTAAAGATTGTCAACATTTGATGATGTCTTTAGATGATTGCCACTATATGCGGATTTTTTGCTGATCAAATAGATGTAAAAATTTTAATATAAAAAATAAACAAAATTCAAACTCTATCTCCTCCATACTTATCAAATAGACCTCTATTTAAAATTAGTATAAAGGTACTACATAACATATACTTCAAAATAAAGGTTTTATTTTTTTAATTTTTTGTTTATAAAAAAAAGTTGTATGCAAAAAAAAGTTTTAAACAAAAATAGAAAAAAATTTTAATAAAATTTTTAAAAATCTAAAACCTTTAAGTGGAAGAATATGTTCCAACTTTATTTGATACTAATTTTATAACTCTAGAAAAAGAATTGGTGGACTAGATAGATTTTGAAAATTTCATAGATATATATATATGAAATCCATTTTAGAAAGATTATCACATTTCTAATCTAAAAAGTATTCAAACACATTTTTTCAAAAATTCCGCAAAATTTTACATAATGACTTTGTATGAAATTTACATTATTTGGTAGCTCAGGTTATTATGATCATGAATATAAAAAATAGTGTTTTTGTATATCTGAAGCTTTTTTAATTTTAAAGAAGTATCACAAAAACGTAACACATAATACATAATTATG